AAGAGTAAGGATCAAGCTGCACAACAGCTTGTCCACACCTCTGCACCTCGGGGACACCCGAGTCGTAGCCAGACCCGCCGGTGTATGAAACGGAGCCCCCAACGCCATGGGCGTCGCCCCAGAGGCAGACATCATGCCTCCGCGTGTCTGCGCATGGCAGATAGGCAGGAGGCTCGGGCATGCCGAAGACGGGGTACGACTGCTCGAAATTCGGCGTGCCAGATCCAAGCCCCGCTTGGATAAGTTGGTCGCGCACCTCAGCCAGCCCTTGGGAAGGGGTGGAAGATGCCACTGCCTGGTGTACCATGCGTTGAGGCTGGAGCCGCCGCCGCAGGGATAACAGGTCACTCCGTTCCGAAGCAGCCGGTGGCGCGCAGAGGACGCTCTGCGCGTCTGGCCGCACCGCCTCCTGAAAACCGTCGTGCCAAGGTCGGCCTCTTCGTCAACACCTTGCCCGACGCCAAGAAAGAAGTCGTCCTCGGCCCCCATGGTGCTGTGGTGCTGGGCGCAGGTGTAGGACGGTGTGGAGGTGGTCGCGATCCTGCTGGCGCAGGTCGCCTAGACCCTGCTGAATTTGAGGGGTCCTTGGACATGGTCCATGGCCTTGGACATGGTCCGTCGGCTCCTGTTCCCTGGGTCGCATTTCCCCGTCGGGGGGGCTGGCCAGCAGCGCGGGACATTCCAAGAAGACATGGCCCCAGCATTCATCGGGCGCAAGGGCCGTCCCGCAAGCCTGACAGGGACGCATGGGCCTACCGAGCGTCATGTCCCTGCGAATCGGCATGAGTATGTTGTCAGACCATAGCGCCAGCAACGCTCCCAGCTGCCTTGCGGCACGGACACCCTTGACCGCATACCTGAGCCCACGGTGCCAGATAGGCGCGCCAGCGTGGGCGTACATGTGGCTGGTGAGGCGGCCACGCTGCCAGCGCTGCACGCCTTGCACCAAGAAGGGTCGCAAGTCAGCAGGGCGCACGCGGTGCAGGCCATACTGGCTGCCCAAATTGTCCTGCAAGATGTGCGGCGCTTTCGTGTCCCAGGCTAGCCGCCTGAGCGTGAGCCACGTCGCGGCCAGGGGACCTTTGGCATTGGCCCAACTGATTGGGACAGCCCGTTCATGGAGCGCTGTCCAGGCCCATTTGAAGGCGGCTTGGTGACGCGCGCCCATCCCAAATCCAGGCGGCGTAGTTCAAGACCGAGTCTAGCGTGGCATGATAGATGGGATCGTACTCCTCCGAAGGGTGAGTAAGGAGGTATGCCGTGACGCCCACGTGGTGCTTGTCACTGCGCCCGTTAAGTACCGCAGCCAAGTTGCGCACCTCGCGTAGGGGCGCGTCCGCCAACCCCGACACTTCAGCCCCGTGCCCTGCAGACGGCATGAGCCCAGTCCGCCACATGGTGGAGGCCTTGCGCCCTACCGCGCGACGCAGCATGAGGAGTCGGTGATTGCGCTCCCGCGCGGCCTTCATGCACTTCTGTTCAACATTCCTTAGCGCCCGGGGGCCATGCAGCTCATGGCCAAGGTTGCGCATATGTCGGGCTCGGGGCACTGCCCGAGGCATCCGCCGCTGGACTCTACGCACCACGAGGCGAACCTGCTCTGGCCCAGCCACCACCGCGGACTTAGCAGGTTTGAGAATCAGCCCGAGGTCCCCGGCCTCTGCAGCGAGCACCATCGCAGCGCGCAGCAGCAGCTTCACATCGCGGAGGTCGGGGGGGACCATCTGCAGGCCGATATCGTCCACCAGCGAGCGTGGCTTGATGGTCGGCGCCACCCTGTTGGCCCGCTGGAAGACACGGTACGTCAGCAAATAGATGAGGTAGGTGGCATGTGCACGCCCCGCGAGCACCCCCTGGAAGGCGACAAAGGAGCACGAGAGACTACCGTGCGCCTTGATGCGCCGTGGCTGCTGGTAGAGCTGCAGCAACATCCATAGCAGGCGCATCGGGTAACCCAGCTCCCGTGCCTCCCGCATGAGCGCATGGGGGTTCACCATGTCAAAGCAGCTCACCATGTCAAGGAGGGTGGTGCATGTGTGGTCGCCTATGAGGCTACCCACCTCTTGCCCCAGGTTGTGAGCGAAAGCCGACGCCGTGGATGTGTGGCTGCCTCGGGTACCCCACATCTCGTCGCAGTTGCGCAGTCGTTGCCACTCTGCCGACAGCCATCGGCGTGCTTTCGCCCAAACTCGTAAGAGAGCATGGCTAAGCACAATCTGCCTGTGGCCACCATCTAGCTTCAGGAGACGGGCCATCTCACTATACAGGCGGTCGTAGGGAAACCGCAAGTGCTGCTCAAAAACCTAGTACATCTCGGCCAACCTCCTGGGAGCCTCATCTGGTAGGTGCTCAAGCGCCCTCGGTGGAATGCGGGTGGGCCCCGAGGCGGTGGCGAGAGAGAACGAACGGATGGCCTGCCGAAGGTCATGGGCCGTCGGGCCAGGCTGCCCCTCCCACCCACGGGTAGGAGCAACACTTCCAGCCCATGGGTCGCCCAGATCCGCTTCCACTCGCACATGGCGCGGTCCGCGGGGATGCATGGCTGGGCATCGGCCTCAGGGGCAACAAGTTATTGCTGCGCCCTGCCCTTTCATGCAGCATGGGCAGCCTTCGCTCCCCCATTGAAAGCCGCCTGCGCCCAGCTGCGCCCGGCTTTCTCCGACTCGCCGCGAGCCGCGGCAGTGAGGGCCTCCGCGCGGCCCACGGCGGCGTCTACCACGTCATCAAAGTCCTCCACAATCAGCCCGTCCAGCCCGCGCAGGAAGAACTGGCGGTAGCAGGGGTCGATATTGGTGAGGACTTTATCCTGCCCGACGATGGAGCCCAGGAAGCAGAGGATGTCGTAGCAGACGCTGGCAGTCTTCTGCAGCTGCCTGGGAGCTGGAGACGCATGCGTCGCCACCACATTCATCCGGTGGCAAAACCGCTGGACCCGATCACGCTCGGCGCGAAGGTGAGTCGCCCAGCGTGCCGCTGTAGCCCAAACCCAGACTGTGGTGTCGTGACACAGGCGCTTGCGAGGCGGCTCCCACCGCAACTGCCGCCACTTCACCTCGGGGGGGCCGTGGTGCCCGACGAAACGGTTGGCTCCAGGGCCAACTTTGTCGCGCCTGCCAGCGATCTCGTGGCCAATGCCCTGCAACACGGAGTCCCAGAGCTGCTGCAAGACATCATCGGGTGTACCGACCTCGCCGACGGCATGACCATGGGCCCAGGTCCGACGGCGGTAACGTTGGCCCGCGCGCCCCGACCGATCGCGCTTAGATTTGCCTAGTGGGCCAACTTTATCGAAGGACATGCCTCGGTCCCGATGAGGCCTGGACTAGACGTAGTCCGTGCCAGTGACCCTGTGCGGCGCAGAGGCTGCCCGCATAAAAAAATACCATCCAACGTGCGCCAAGGAAGGGAAACGAGCACAGCCAACAGGGGGTACGGCAGGCAGCGGTCGAGGCTCATCGGGGACGCGGCACCATGTCGGCGCGTCCTTCCCGTACAGCTCCAGCCCCACGGGGTAGTGAGGTCTGGGAATGCTCCCGCATCCATGTATCACCTCAGGCTGGCGAGAGACACGGGACGCGAGATTGCTAGCCACCAAAAAGTAGTCGATGGTGGACACCCCATTGGAGGTAACGCACGTAGGGGCCGACGGCTGGAGGAGAGTACCAGCCAAAGACCCAACCCAGTCGCCTATGTTGATGCTCTGGCCGTCGGCGTTCCAGTCACCCCCGATGATCCAGTCAAGGCCGAGTGCGTTCCACGCCGCCACGCGCTTCGCAAGCGAGAGGTTGGCCCCAGTGACGCCGATGCCCTGAACCATGTACACGCTGACGACAATCAGACCACCAGGGACACCCCAGTGGACATGAGCTGCAACAGCATGATGGGGAAAAACAACATGATCCTCATCAGGGGGCATCGTGACCATCACGCTTGTAGGCGCGAGCACGCAGACCCCACTGGAGCACGACGCCGCGGACCCTCCTCCAGTCTCCTCAGCAAGAGCCCAGAGGCCGTGCCAACCTGCATCACGCACAGCAGATTGAACAGCCCCGAGCCGTTGGTCGACCACCCGCGTCTCCTGGACCATCACTACCTTGCCGAAGAAGTACGGCAGGAAGTTGAGCAGTGGCCCGTGAGATCCAGGGTTAACCGTGACCAGCTTGGCCGCCACCTGACGGTGCGCATCGCCAGCATCAGGCATGGCCGTACTGGGACCCTGCACCAAGGGATCGTGACCATCAGGCGTGCCTATGTCGCTGCCACCAGCTCGGTGCCGAGGTGGTCCTTTCCGCCAATTGCGGAGCAAGCCCGCGGATTGGTCAGCCACCGACGTAGTCTTCCCACCATTGTAAGGGGCTCCTGCAGAACCCACCTCGACATGGGTCATGAGCAGGCACCAGAGCAGCATAAGGGTCCATCCTCGCGGGCGCGCCACACACGGTGAGGACGAGTGGACTGGCGTGCAGGTCGATGGCGAAGGGCTGGAGCAGTAGTTGCCTCTGGCGGGAGACGTACTGTTCATTTCGCCAAGTGGAAGCGGATCCATAACACCAGGACCCACCCTGGCAGCAGCGTGCACATAGTACGTGCTGTCCTGCGGGCTCCCCGCGTAACCACTGGCCTTCCGTACATGGTACTTCCTGCCAGGAAATCCCCAGCAGGAGGAGGAGGAGGAGGAGGAGGAGGAGGAGGAGGAGGACCCCCTCCCAGGGGGGAAGGAGGAGGAGGAGGAGGAGGAGGAGGAGGAGGAGGAGGAGGAGGAGGAGGAGGCCCCCTCCCACTCCAATTTGTGGCGGTGGTGGCGGGAAACAGGCCCATCGAGAATCCGGACGGCACAGCCCCTGCCGCGGGCCAGAGCTACAGCTGGACGAGGTCGATGGCGCGCGCCTCGCCGTGGCTCGCTCCCGCCTGCAGGGCCAGAGAAAGTCAGACGGACCCGCCCGCCTGGAGCGCGTCTCCATATCTTCGGCGATACTGGGCATTATAGGTGGGGGGGGCGGGGAGGGGCCAAGGGGGGGTATAACGTAACGCCGCCCCCCGCCGCGCGCACGGCGGCAGTGCCCGGAGCGCACTGGGGGGAAGGGGCGTTGCGTTATGGGGGGGGAGGGGGGGCCGGGTGCTATAATGCCCACTATGCCCCAAGCAATAAAGAAACACGCTCCTGGGGAGTCGGCTTCCCAGGAACCCCAAGGAAGGCGGGGCCAGATCTCCGACGGTGTGCTTTGACCAACTAGGGCATGCCCTTCGATGCGGCCCGAAGGGCCCGCCACAGAGCCCTGGGACCATCAGAAACGGACCCGGGACGAATACACAACCCCTCTGGGAAGGGGTCGCCTCGGGGGCAGCGCAACGACCAAAAAAAAGACAGCCTCGATCTCATCCGTGTCTCTAAGATTGACGAGCCCAAGGGCGATGACAATCTGTGGGATGCGACCTCAGAAGCTGGGAGAGCTCTTAAAGATCGGCATCGAGATCAGGTGGTGCAAACCATAGGGGTAGAGATACCCAGACCCCCGACGTCATGATTTTTTCATGACGCGACCCCCAGAGGTCCCGACCCATTCCCCGGGACCGGTTTTTCGTCCTGACTCGTTTTTTGACGGTCCCGAGGCCCGGCGAGGGCCCCCGGAGGCCGAAAATAGCGAAAAACCTCCCGTCGTGATTTTTTCACGACGCGAGGAGGTCTGGGTATGTTCCAGGGTGGTAATAACACCGTCGGAATGTCTGGGAGTTCCTCCACGCCCACCGCCACCCGAAGTGCAGAAGACCGGCCCCGTGGGCGGTGCCATGCATAATTACGTGCGGCAGGTTCGCGCCGTGCCGACCCCGGCCGGTGTTGGCTCCTGACACCGCGGGGATCGTTCGAACCTGAGCGATCGGCCGCTTCGGAAACGCCAGGTCGTGCCACAACGGTCGGGGAGACGTAAGGCCCGGGTACGGGGGACTCGGAAATCCCCGACGAGGTCGTCAAAGAAATGACGAGGCCGAGCCTGCATTTCGACGAGGCCTCCCGCTGCAGACATCCAGCGAAACTCCTCCTCGTCAAGATCCGAGGCGCGGTCGTCAAAAAACGATGGCGAACCCGAGTCCTGGCAAACCCGGGTCTTACGCTCCCCCGAAACGGGCCGACTTGAGGTCGCCGGCGGCGCTCGACCATGCACGCCGGCGGCGGGGTCGCCGCCCGTCGGCACGACGCGCACCCGCCGTACAGATCCCAGGCTCGGGCCTCCAGGAGCGCCGTCCTGCCAATGAGCTCCGGCGGGGCCGAGACGCCGCGGGTCTCCTCCAGGGTCGCTGCCGCCGCCGCGGCGGCGCCGCCCTCCTCGGAGACGCACGTCAGCGAGGATGCCCATCTGCGCGCGGGCGCGCTGAAGCGCCCTATCCAGATCGACCCCTGGAGCCAGGTGGGCCTCTCGATCACAAGCTTCACCGAATGCACAGGGTCCACGCCAGCATGCTGCTCCACGACGACTGCGAGCCTGCACTCGGCTGATAAGCGGAAGCGGTGATGGTGCTCACTGAAGCGAAAACGCACTCCATTCACAACATCGATTAGCGCGCTGCCGTCATTGATGGGTCCCGTGGACTTCTCGAGGACATGGCGAATCCAAAACGCCAAGTCTTTTCGCTGGTCTGGATCAGTACAGTGCAGAAGACACGACTGAACAGCACATATTTCCTCCCAAGAAGAACCAGCAAACATCTCGAAGCCACTGGTGCATCGCAACATGGTGAACTCTGCTGAATTAGCGTCGATCCAAACAGCGACTTCCTGCGATTCAGACGTTACATCAGAAGACAAGGCTGAAGAGGAACTACAATCAGCGTGCTGAACCTCGGACGACTGGCATCTGAGCCGAGGATGTGCAGTCAATTTGGCACTGGGCAGCGGCCTGCAGTCCGCGAACTCCCGAAAGCCAACAAGGTAGGACTCCTTCAAAGTACCACTGATGGCACAAACGCCGAATGCTTCAAGCCGCACTACGCTGCCACAGCGGTCCCGCAGGTTTACGTGAAAGGCTTTGCAGAATTCGTTATCCGCGCTGATGGACTTCACCTCCTGGGCAAACTGCTCTTGCTCGGCCTCCGTCGCAAGGAAGTGTGCCACGCGTTCTCCCGCCGACGCTCGAGGCAGGTCATACATCAGCAGAGTCGCGAGCGTTTGGGAAGGCTGCGTCAGCTTCATCTCTCCATCAAGATCAACCACAGCGTCACAAATACCTGACAAGATCGACCTTGCCGCGCGCATATCTCTCCTGTATGTGTGACCCTCTACAGAGGACACGGCCACAAAATTGATGACGGCGTGGAACAGAATCATTCCTACAGTGCCACCTATTGAAATCATGAGCACGTCATCCGATGCTGAAGGACCTAAGCCTTTTCCGGTGGAATGGCCAGCGAACACTGTGTACGCAGCGGTTAGATAGGTAGCAACCGACCAAAACAGATTCATGGGAAGGCTCAGGTCCACAAGGCTGAGGCACATGCAGTCATAGAACACCAGCACCGAGACCGAACGAATGTGCTCCGAGTACTGCAGCAGCGGTGACACCGTCATGAGATTTGATAATGACATGAGGGAGTACCAAACGTGAAGCAGTGATGGGGTCTGCAAGCTTGGAAACACGTGGATGGTCACCAGGATCGTCGAGCAGAAAGCGTGGTGCAAGCGCCTCGGTGCCAGGTGCGTGCGGCCATCGCCGTGGTTGGCCTCCCACTCCAGCGGGCTGATCATCACGACGAAGGCCAAAGAAGCGATCCAGCAACATCGTCGCGAAATGTTGAGCCTCATTTCTTCCTTGTGCAAGTGAACGGCGTCTTGAGTGCCACCCCTGTCGGCAACGAAGGCCTTGGCGACTCTGACGAACGCGAGCAGCCGAGCAGAGCAGCTGCGAAGCCACAACCTGCTGGCGCCTCTGACCCACATCTGCTTGATCAGGGGGCGCAAGATCATGACGGCGCAGAACACCCAGCACGCAACCTGCATCTGTTCCACATAGTCGGTGAAATCTGGGATTGGGCTGTTGCGTCCGAAATCGCTCCCACAGGTGCGCGGGCCGCCGCACGGCGGACGGCGGGGCTCGTCGCCGGGAGCGCCGCCGGGACCGTTCTGCGGCCTGCCGCTCATGCTGAAACGCCCCGGCGCCGCGCTCGTGCGGAAAGCTGTCCGGCCTAGCACTCCAAGTGAAAAAGGCACCACGCCCAATACTTGAGCCAGAGTGAACGCGGACGGCGACGAAGGGAGTGATGGTAGTGAGGACGGATGGGAGCGGTGTCGGCGAGGAGCGTGACGATGGTAAGGATGTGGATGATGAGCGTGACGTCGATGAGGAGGGGAAGGACCTGCGAGGGGCGCATGGGGCAAAGCAGCTCCCCTGAGATCCGACGTGGAGAAAAAATGCAACATCATAAACATTCACGCCCTGAGCCCTATAGACCCCATCTTTCTGTGTCATTTTCGAGCCGGATCGATCTGTGGGGGTCCGGGGGCCCGAAATTGAGAGAAAACGCCAGTTGTGAAAAAATTGCAACGCCAGGATCTTAGGGTCAATTCTAGGATCAAAGAGTGCGCGCATCCAAACCACGTTTCTGGCATGTTGCTAGATACCTGCGCACCCGATGCCACGATGCCTCGCGTACGCACCAGTGTCCGCGCTCTCGAGACACCCCGACGCATCCAGCCCAACCCGCGCCCGTCTGTTTGACCAAGTCCTGGCGATTTCTGCCTTCCCAGAGAAGTATCGTCCACAAACCTGATAAGACGAGAACGGGACGCACCAGATTCGCCCAAGCGTGCCCCTGCAAGGGAAAGGACGAACATGATGATGACGGCGACGACGAGTGACAAGGCGGCGGATGAGGATGATGACATGGTGGGGGACGTGTGACTCCCAACGAAGATGACACCCAAATCGTTTCCGCATCACTACCGTTGCCGGAGGCCGTCTCCACCACCGAGGTCCTCACAAGAAGCAGCTTCCACCAGTGAGAAAGCGATGGGCCAGACAGGGACTATGTCAGCTGCCCCCTGCGCTTGAGCTCCTCCTTGGTCGCGCCGTCGGCGATCATGTGGTTGGTGAGCACCCGGCGAAAGCTCTCGACTGGCATCTGTGATCGCTGATGGAAATGACGTCGGTGACGGTCCTTTCTTCCCACTGTGCAAGGAATGAGATGACGCAGGGCGAAGCGCATGGATTTGCAGTCTGCGACGATTATCGCCTCAAACACTGGTGGGAATGGACCATGAGCTCGGTCGCCCAACATGTCCGCGAGAACCTTCACCACGTAGGAAGCACTGTCATTCCCAAAATCCTGAGCGACCGCCTGTCCTGCAAGCGTTGATCTCATAACGCGGGACCTCCGCTTTGACTTGCGGCGCAGTGTGGAACAGGGCGTGGGGCCAGGACGATGGAAACATCTGCCCCGAATAACAGGGCACCAATTTGGGTCGTCAGTCCTGGGGCGTGGCCCGCGAGCTGTCTGCAAGACTTACACGGATAATATGGGAATGCCAGTGCCAGCCATTCGGTGGCCTTCGGGCGACTGCTACTGAAGCCGACAGGTCGGGCCTCGTGTGGCCCGAAAGCCACTGTAGATTGTCGGGAACCCACGACGGAGATCTTCCCGATCTGAGCGGGTTAGCTTCGGGGGCGAGCGCAAGATGGTGCTCACCTGGGAGACGCCAACAGCTTTGGTGTAGTTGGCCTGGTGCGCGCAAAAGCTGCTGGAAGACTTGCCGGCGGCGGGTGCCCACGCTCTCCGCCCGCCATGGCGGCGCTCAGAGCGGACTCCAGGAGGCGATATACACGCTCTATTTGAAGGAGCCCCAAGAGCCTTTCCAAGAGGGCCCCGAGATGCCCAAATCTGTGGGTTGATCCATGTGTGTGGGGGTTCCTCGACTTTTCGAGCTCCCGACGCTCTAAGACGACCCAAGAGGCCTCCACGACCAACTCAAGACCGACCCAAGACGGCCCTAGACGGCCCAAGAGGCGCCCAAGCGGGCCCCCAGACGGCCCAAGAGGGCTCCAAGACAGGCCCCGAGGCACCGAATGTTTCCCCACCGACGTCGTCCCCAGATGACAAGGTGTCCCCCTTTCTCCGTCAGCACGGTCTCGGTCCCAGTGCGATCTGTGATCGCGCAGTACACACACACTTGCACTCGTAGGAGTAGAAGAGAGGAGTATGGGTGTCGGGATGGAATGGATAGTGAGTGGCTGAGGATTAACAACAAGTGAGTAGAAGAAGTATGGCCTTGAACCAAGATGGTTACGGAGGGGGCCCAGTTCCTGACTGTATGGTTCAAGTCCAGGGGGGCGAGGGCTACTCTCCTCACCTGACCAATGAGCTAGAGGCGCTCATTCCCACAGTCCCCCAGAAAATAACGGACTTCAAGCTGGATGGGGCCTTCATCCCCCGCAACCGTTAGCTTGCTCGGGAGAAACTCTGACAGAGACCGGCAACACGTGGAGGGCGCCCTCCTTAACTGCTCTCGAAAACTCAGCGTGGCAGGATGGTATTGTCTTGCTGTTCTGCAACACCCGTAGAGAGGCTCTGGTCAAGGGTGTTCTCACGGGGAGCACTCAACGGCACTGAGAGCTGGAAGAAAAGGCGCCATTCAAAAGCACAGTACGCGACACAGCCTCAGGCTGGGTCTGGGCAAAGGTCAGAAACAGAGGAAGGGAGCCGACGACACTAGTCCAGCTGCCTCCTCGACGCGGCCCTAGAACGGTTCTTGGCCCCGGGGTCCTCCTTGCGTTTTTGCAAGGACTGCTCCTCGGCCGTGAGCCGAAGGAGCCCTGATTTCAACAGATGGAGCTGAACAGCGCTACACTTAGCCATATCTGCCTTGGTGAGACAATCGGCCGGAAGGGGCGGATGAGGCATCCATCGCATCGGCGATTGGATCCGATCCATGGTGCCCCGTATGACCGCTAAGTCTATCGCCGCTCGGCGGTCCGATTGGCTCCGGAGGTCAGCTTGGATAGAACGTCGTAGATCCCCTTTGCGTCGACAACGCTCACGTTGTCAGCTGGCTGGGGAGGGCCTAACACTTCGCATGGGTCTTTCAGTGGGGCGACGAAAGGACCAAGATTCTCTCTCCAGCGCTCGTTCACCACATTTCCACGGGTGACGTCCAGTAGGAGAATCTGCAGCCATTCGGCTTCCCCAAGAGCACTGGAAAGAGCTAAAGTCTCCCCGGCCAGATTGACGCCACTTGGCGCCGAAGTTTCCCGGACCTCCAGGCAGCGGGGGCAACTCGGGCCCGGGATCCGCGGGCCAGCGAGTAATCGGCCATGTAGATTTGCCAGGCCCCCTGAGGATGCTGAGGCCCCCGCTTATCCTCAGCCCCCACCCCTCCACAATCACTCGCCGTCGCCAGCGCAAAACCGTCTGGCTGAAACCGCCAGACGATGATCGGGAGAGAGGCTGTCGACCTGAGACGGTCGACCATCTTGTGGCATCCAGCAAGTCTTTCACGCGCGGGCTGTTGACTTTCGCGGCCAGAATAGAAGCCGTTCCCGCGGCCTCGGCGCGGGTTTCCCTTCCGGCCCACTGGAGCTTGTAGACGAGGCTCCTAAAAACCGCCACCTCTCCCCCAACTAGAGGGCCCGCATGATCCCCCATACGTCCTCGGGCCAGATAGATCTTGTGAAGCTGTTGCAGGATATATTTTTCCTGGTCGACCAGAATCCGGCCCCCGGTGAACCGAAGCCTACGACCAATGTATTCCACCCCCGCGGCATCCAGAAGTCTCATCTCCCCGAACGTGAAACGCTCCTGAAAAGGGTCCAGGCAGTTTTTCTCTTTGCCCTCTCTGAACGCTATGGCCCAGTCGCCTACTTCCACCAGCACCTGCGCCTGCAACTCGCCGCGGGCTCGCTCCAGGAACCAGCAAGGCTCGAGCATAGTGCGCTCGAAGCCCCGCGATTTCATGAAATTGGCCGCGGCGCGGTGACAGGCGAGCGGCGCGTTGTCTAGGCCGTAGACGGGCGCTATCAGCTCGATGAGTGAACCGGGCGGAACCGGGACTCCGTCGCACGGTTCCACGAACGCCCGGCCTCGAGCACGCTTAAGGGGTTTGGACTGACAGAAAACATTTTATGTCCCCAATATAGATAGTAAGACGGTACATAAGAGACGCCACAACGAACAACATGAGGGCCTCCATGCACGGTGTAGGGGCATCGACTTGTAGTTCTGCCGTATATTCGTCCTGATGGCCCCGAACACACCACCTTGATTTTGCTTCCTCCTTCGAAAAGTTCCCTCCCGCGGCTTCCACCTCCGAACCATGCGACTCGAAACGATCCGGCTCGGGAACAACCGGCGAAGCTCATTGGCTTCCTTGGGGGGGTGCACTATCACAGCCTTGGTTCCCTCGGATATGGCTTCCCATTCGTTCGCATCTGAGATGCCGAATTTCCTCTTTTCTTCTGGGCTAAGACGCTTGCATTGAACCTCAGCACCTCGATCGGCCAGGAGGGACAGGGAAACGGACCCGTTTTCCCCGGGGGCGATTTCCACATCGGCTTTTCCTTTGGCGTAAGTCTCCCTAGACCCACTCCATCCCTGGGACTGCATTTCCCGCTCTAACTGGTCGAGAAGGTCGACCTCCTCGTCCATATGGGCAAGAAGGGCCATAGCCGTGGCCCCGCCGTTCTCGGTGCGGTCTCCTCCTCGTGGCGAGTGAGGCCTCTGTCGGGCGGGGGCCTCGAGCTCTCTCTGACCTGCTGTCTCACTCTGCCCTCCTGAACTCCCCGAAAGGCCCCCCTGGAGTGCGAGCCATTCTACCGCTCCCTCCGCCCAGGCGCCTAAGTCCCTCGGTATCCTGCATCAAGCGAATGAGCCGACCGGGGTCTACTGGCTCCGCTGGGCGATGCTGAGAGGCAGAATCGGACAGCGCAAGCCTGGAGCACTGGCAGGCGGAACACTGGCAGCCGAGGCTTCAAATTGAGGGCCGTCGTGAGAGGCGACGCTTGGCTCTCTGTCCCTCTTTTCGCCTTGCGGGGGAGTGGGCTTTGAGCGAGTAGCGCGGCCCGAATCGCCGTCTCGCTCCGCGACACTGCGAGCTCTCCGGGGCTGCCCCGAGGTCTGCCTTGAGGGCCCAGACGAGACCGGAACCTCAGACCTATTCTCCAGGGATTCTGGGGCTCGTGTCCCTTCGGAATGAGCTGGGAGGGCCGCCTCTTCAGGGATCGGAGCAAGACCTGGAGGAGGCAAAGGTGGGAGAGCTCCTGGTTGACCTCCCAACTCCCCCCCTTCTCCTGAAACGACCGAAGGAGGCGCTATGTCGGGGCCCTCCCCCGCGGCGGCTCCGCTGTCAGCCTCTACAGCGGGCGCCACCTCGGGCGGAGAGGCGACCTCCACGGGAGCGTCTGGAGCCCATGCTCCGGGAGGAGGCGGCCCCTCGCTGGAGACGTTTGTCCCGGCTCGACGCGCACTGGTCCCGGCTCGACGCGCGCTGGTCTGGGCCTCCCTGAGGAGCTGTTGGACAGACGAGTCGGCGAGAATCTCCGCTCCCCGGGACTCTTCGGTCGTGGCCAACCGGACCTGCTCGGTGGAGCACTGCCAGAGACGAGACGTCATCGCCACCCAAGCCGACGTGCCGTTTTGCAGCACCACGAGTCCCGGACCGACCCATCTGCCCCTTTGGAGGGCGAAGGTTTTCTGGCCTCCCCAGGGAGCCCTCCTCCAGACGTAGACCGTCTCGATGGATGGGTGCGCGCGCTGCCTTTGCCAGACGACGTTGGTTGGACGACTCGAACAGTTCTTTTCGGGCCAACCTCCTGATGGCGCCCCCGCGGGCGAACTCGGCCGCCGCGGTGCCCCGATCCCAAGAGCCGGGGGGCAAGTCATCCGTTCCCACCACCTGCTGAGGGTCATCGGACGTGATGTCGTTGGGGTTAATGCCGAAAACCATCTGGCATTGAGTGAACCCCCCCCGATGCAGGTGCCGTTTTTTCGCGGCCGCCACTTCGTGAACCAGGGTTTCGAGTTCCAGCGCGGTGGTGACGAGGGTGGTCTCAGAGGCCCGAACCAGAATGTCTTTAACCCAGCCCCCGTGCCCCTCGGCCCGGCCGTTCTGCCGCGGACCCCCCGAGTCCGTGATATGCCGAAAGACCCCAGGTGTTCCAGACCTCGTTCGAAATGGCCCCGAAACTCTGGCCTTCCGTCCGTAATGGCGAAAAGAGGGTGCCCGAAGGGTCTGGCCCAGGCCCTCGCGGAGGCCCTCCAAGCCCCCAGGGCCGTGCCATCGTACATTTCCACGACCTGATAGTTGGTCCCATGACATATGACATTGAGAAACGCCAGCTGTTCTTCCTCAAAGGTGATATAGAACGTATCTAAAGCGATGATGCGATTAAACTCGAACGCCCTAGGTACCGCGACGAGGCGACTGCTAGCTGGACGAGAATGCGCGGCGTAATCGCCGCATCGGTACTCGTCCTGCACGAATTTGAGCACCTCGGGTTTAACCTTGGCGCCCCTTAGAACCTTCAGGAAAACATCTTTGTGGGGGTGACCTAAGTTGACGTGAACCTTATGTGTGAGCCGTCTGATCCTCGGGGTGACCTCAAAGGGACGATCCCGGGCTATTCCCTCTGGTTCCGGATCGCCCTCGAGGGCTTCGCCCTCTTCGACGTCGGCCGGATAACTCTCGGCCAGGCGCAGCTCTGGTGCCCCTGCATCTCTCGCAACCCTGACCTGTCCCGGAGGCAGCTCTGGAAGAGCCGCGTTCGTGCTGGCGCGAACGGCCTCGGCCAAGGATCGGGGCAACTTTGGCGGATGCACTCGAGCTCTAGCTGTC